ACCGGAACCCCCACTACTATCCTGATCAGGGCACCCCCCACCAGACCCATGCTAAGTGGGGGCAAGACCAATGGCAGCTGCTCCGGCGTTGGGTCCGGCAGCAGACCCAGGTTGTAGTTGATGTGTGAGGCTAAGGCCACACCAGCGCCTGTGCCCAGGATCTGAGCGGTGTCACCTCGTGATGTGCTCCAGGTGTCCAGGGTGAAGGAGAAGAGGCCCAGGCCCAGGTGGAGTGAGATGATGATGAGCGGGGCGTAACGACACGTCAGGTTGAAGTTGTCAATCAGTTCCAGGGCAGGGAGAAAGAAGAGGAGGATCAGGGCACTATAGAGGACTCCAACAATAACGTCCTGAGGAGACAGGAAGACAACATGGAGGTCGTGAAGCCGCAGTCCTCAACAATATTAAACAGTCTACAGTCCCTCACAACCCATTTGACAGTTGTGTCAGTCAGTTTGTCAGTAGTGGACTAGGCTGGTCTGATGTATTCGGCCTCTGCTGGATGAGATGGGATTTTAAGCTGCCTTATTGACTGTGTATTGACTATGTATTAGAACAATATTAAGTAAATGGACGGTTGAATTGTTAGATATACTGCAAACGTCATTATGTCCAAATGCACTCGAAAGTCCTAATATTTAGCAAAACTATTAATTAAGCTATGATTGACCTTTTTGCCGGAATATCAGCTAAGCTACTCTTGCTAACTGTGGGGCTAACAAGTTATCAGGTGGTTAGCTATTAAAATCTCATATATACTTTGTTTATGTATTTTTGATATTATTATATCAATATTATTAAGGTTTTGGACAACTTTGAGCCATTTCTTCAGTTTAAATTTAGCCAATAATATTTAAACTAAATATGTAGCTAGAACTGGCTTTTATTTAGCTAACACTTATCCACTCTGTAAACTTTTGTAATATCTCCATTAAACACAACCGACATTAGTGCAGTGTGCTATACAAAGGTACAGCTGGATATTTTTCTCCCATTAATTAGAAAATGTATTAATTACAAATTACAGTAGCCTGAAATGATTGTTAAAGATATATGATAATATGTGCTGCAGCAGAACAACAAATGAGAACGTCTAACTGTGTGAGATATGAGACAGGAAGAGCTCTCCAAAGGTTAGTGAAGTTTATCTCTGCTGTCACTGCAATCTTTTATCAGCACTTTCTCTCGTATGACCACCACAGGCCACATCTGTAATTTTCCCCTCCACTGACACAAGGACAATCAGCTGGAAAGGTCGTCCTGGGGTGTACTGTACGGCCCAGAGCAAAGACCATGTCATGTTGGAGAAGAAGCTTTTATCTAAAGTGCCTGACGATAGCAACCAATAAGCATTGATGGGAACAGAGCAGCTAATCTTCAGTGAGGCATGGCCTTAAGTGATTCCTGCCTATTGTTCACGTGTAATGTATAACGACTAAATGGATCCTGCTATCAGAGTGAACAGTGACCCTGCCGGAGGCACAGAGCCATAAACCTGGAGTGAAGGGACCTTGAGCAGCCAGGTGCAGCCATAGACGAAAATGACCTCCTGTTTAAAGCATGAACATTTGTGACTGGAACCACAAGACAACAATAATATAAATATGTAACACCAATTATATTATAGTAATATATATACTAATCAAACAGCTAAAGTCCTAGCTCTACCAACGTACCCATGAATATTGGCCATGAAACATAGGTTTTTATGGATGAAGTCAATGCTTCGGATGTTTTAAATATATTAGAAAATAAGAACCAAACGACTGATTTGCAACAGTTGTAAAACTTTGGTTGCACATTAACTGGAGGCTGGCAGGTTGATTAATCAGACACGCGACCATCAGTGGATGGGAAACTGTTTGACGCCATGGCACATTTTAATGCTGCCTGAGTCTGGAAGCTCCAGCCCAAAAAGGTTAACATTGGGTTGATGTTATCAGCTAGAAATGAGATCTGAGAGCACACTACTGATATGTCTCGTGTTACTTCACTCTGAACACCAGCACTTTAGACCTGTAGAACTGTCCTGCTGTTCATATGTTTTAGTTACACTGCTGCTGAGAATTCACTGTTTTTTTAAACAGGAGCACCATCGACTCAGTGACACTGGTTTTGTGAATCACATTTTGGACGATTTATAGATATTTGTTGATGTGTGAAAACAAAGTAAATTATTATCACGTGAGCTTTACAATTGAAAGGTTATGAATTTAGCTGCAAAATAAACTGTCAGCGGAATTAAAGAAATCGGCAATTAAGATGGCTTATGAGCAGATGCTGGATCACATGATTTACATAATGATCAGATAAAACCGTTGACGTTCACGTCCTTTAGCTACAATAACAGATGCATGTGTGGCCTGAGGGAGTTTCTGAACAGGATCTTCACTGTTCACTGAAGCTGCTTCCACTCTGCACAGTCATGTTTTGTAACCAACACTCCCTTACTAATAATGAGGGGTTATCAGATTGGGAGAAATGCTGTAAAGCATTGAACCTGAGGTTTTTCCTCACCCAGTGAGTGGTGTCAGATTCAGTGTTACGTGACAGCACCTGTGTGATCTCAATGAGCGGTGATCTCATCTGGCTGTGAGCGAAACAGCCCATGAGCAGGTGAGTAATAGAACTCTCTTTTTTTATATGATTATGAACAGGTTGCAACAGGATACGTATTTAAGGCCTAGGTTTCTAGTCTCTAATTTCTTGTATTTCTTGTACTATTTTAAGGTAAAATCACAAACTTAGTATCGTTTTGTAGGGCTGTCTATGGATTAATTAGATTAATTACAGGGTTCAACTAAGTACGATTATTCACAATTAATCAAAATTATAAATCAAACAATTCATCCTAATAATTAAAGGTTGAACTTCCCAAAGTTGTAATTCCTAAATATGCCAAAGGTATTTTTGCTGTTTAATGCTTTAATGTGAAAGACAAATAAAAGCAGATATATTAAAGTGTGACTAATTCAAAATGATAGAATTATTACAATGATGCAAAATAATAACCAAGCTATGTTTCCACAGAGTCAGTGGAGTTTAGTCGTTCATCTTAACAGCAGCTCGTGGAACGTGTCAAGAGTTACTTTTAAAATTTCAGTGAAGCTAGTCAGTGCACATTAAATGCATTAAATTCTTTAAATCAGATTAATCTTTACAAATTAAAAAAGGTGATTAACGCATTCATTTTGACAGCCTGATTTTCTTGTTTGATTAACTTTAAACTTTCTTCTGTGTGGGTACAATCACAGTAAAATGTTATTAGTCAATATTATTTTCAGGCCTTCTTACCTTAAACTTAATAGTGTAATGTGTTACTAATGATGTGTCCTGAACCAAGCAGTTGTTGTGCAGCAGTGTGGTTTCCCTCCAGTTACACAGGTGTAGTGTTGCCCACTCTAGGCGCTGACTTGGATCCAGTTTTGGAGCCAAAGCCAGAGCAGGTCAGATCCTGTTTCTTACTGGTCAGGTATCATGTGAAGTCACACTGGCGTCGCTGCAGGTGACGACGCTGGTAGAGTCTGTGGTCCTGTGTTCAGTAAAGGAGTGTGTGTGTGTGTGTGTGCGCTTGAGTATTAGCTCAGTCTTACCAGGACAGAGTGCATCCCCAGGTAGATTCGACTGATGCAGACCAGCAGACACCAGCACAGCGCCAGACTGAAGCCCAGTGTCGGAGGGTACTGTGGAGGTCAAAAGGTGACAACAGTCATGGACTCCAGAAGACAAATTACCAGGACTATACCAAGTACAAGTTATCAAAGAGAAAATAGAAAATTGTATGATGTCATCAAAGAGCAGTGAACTGGTGAACATGAGAGCTATCATACGTGTATTGAGATGACCTCATTAATACTTCAACAGCTCTGCTGCTTCCTGATCTGCTTACCGTTAACTACAGTCTGCCGTTAAACGGAAAGGAAGCGATGACAGGATTTAAAACAGAAGCTCAGATCCTCTCCTTATCATCATATGACTCTGCTTTTTTCTTTATCTAATCAGCAGAACTTTCACAAAAGCCACGAGTCATTGCTATTCAGTGTATTCTGACTCGTAAGAGTCTTATCTGATGTAGAGCTGGGAGGGAAAAGGCCAGAACTCAAATCCTTAACATGTTGTAGCACTATGGTCCAATTCTGTGTCTAGGTGGAGCAAGGATGTCACGTCTTATCTAGGATTTAAAATTCAACAGAACTTTGTAAGATACAATTGCTAACTAAATATATAGGTATCTGAGTAAAAACGTAACATCTTGAAAACATTGAATATTGGTTCTGGTTCTGTTCAGGTTGTCATTTTCCACTCAGACATGAACAAATCCTCTCTTTCAATCCCACAAGAGTTTTCTCAGAAGTTGGTCACAGCACATTCCAATACAAAGCTCCATCCAACTGAAATAATCCTCCTCTTCATCTCAGAGCCACAGTTTTTTTTTTCCTGCTCCGAGCCATCGCCATGTTCTTGAACTCAAAACAAAGTATTCTTCTTGCAAATCTTTATTTATTTTCTTAAATATTTCAAAATTTTATTTCCTGCAATGTCTCTGATGATCTTCAACAGGAGCATCAATGTAAAGATGAGAGAAGGGAAGTCACAGCTCAGCAGAAAGACGTGACGGATGGAAAAAAAAAAGAAAAACTGCTGAGGTTCACACATATGATAAAAGCCTTTTGTCCTTGTCATTGTGGGCCCTGTGTGCTAATAAAGCTTTAAACAAACACAGACACACACACACCTAGAGATGCTAAATTTTCACCATTGCTAAAAATAACACCTTTTAGAAATAAAATGTAAAAATGTAGTCTTTTAGATTCTTGCAACAAACTCAAATATTGTCTAGCGAACAGTAAAATAATCCAGAATTGTAGCCGTGTTAATCTGCAGACGAGTAATCAGTCTCAAAGATTTAGCTCTGAGTTACAGAGCCTGCAGACACAGATGACTCACTCAAAGCCAACTAACCACAACGTCTGAAGGTTGCAGCATCAGACTTGACACAGAAGCAGACAGAAAGACTGCTGGGTCACTCTCTCCTAGTTGACTCTTAACCCCTGGACTATGATTCAAGTGTCAATTAAGAACTACAGGTTGGTACAGGGGCCAATTGTGGTTGGGAACCAGATGTTTGTCTATCTGGTTTATAGGTGAAGCCCAGTCGCACATTACTACAGGTTCTGATACCAGTGAGACAGTGGGCCCAGGATGTTGGTACAGGCTAAAGAAACAGCATCTTGGACATATTGTCCCAAAACTCTTCTCTGTGTCTCCACTGCCTGGTCTGACAGTGGCGTTCAGGCCTGAGGCTACAGCGGTCGCCTGCTGCACACTTTTATGCACACAGTGTGTTTAAGTGTGGCCTGTGGTTCGACACACAACTGCTTATTGACTGTTAGCCTCAGAGCGGGATTTTCTCTTTGACATGTACTGTTCACACAAACACACAAAGTCACAAGCACACAACAACAGACACCCTGAGGCTCTCAGAGTGTGCTGTGATTGACCATCGACATCACAACAACAGAAATGTGTTTAAATGTGTAAATAATTCAGACTTTGAATTAAAAAAAACACAGAATGAGCCTTTACTGCCCTGTCTCTCCACATGCTTTAACAAATATGGAGCTCGGAAAATGGCAATAAAACTAAATCAATCAAATGTACAGAGGACTCACGCCATGCATAATTTGTTCAAATTGCAGACAGCCAAACTCGACAAAATCAATATTTTGAGGGGGAGCGTAAACTGGTGTTTTAAAAAAATGTCTCTGCCTTCTATGAGTCTGATAGTTCTGCCAAAAAAAGACCATGACGTATTTGATTTGGATGTGTATAATCTCTGGATTCTTTTCCCTGTGTTATCCCAATCTTCTCATAACTTGTTGGATCTCCTCCTTCTTTTCCTTACTTATCTTCGATAGCTTCTGTCTGTCCTCCCTCACTTGGCTCTGTGCATTATCTTCCACTGAGACATCTGTCTTCAGTTACTGTCTGAGTTGGGGAAAGGGCGGTGGTGGGATGGAAGGAGGAGCAGAAGGGAGCGTCTCCAAACTGCTGCCCATCCAAATCCAAACATTCCTGCCTTGCTCGGGCAAGTCTGAGAATCGTCAGGGAAAACTCACAGAGCGGAAAAGAATAAAAAGAAAGGGAAACAAACTTTTTTTCCTCACAGAGATCTTAACATCTTCCTGCCACGCTAATATTCAAGGTTTTTCTGTTGCATAGGGGAAAAAAATGATGCAGAAAAAGAACAGATGCCAACTTCTCTTAAGACCCACCACTGAGGAAGTAAAAGACCTTAGGTGACCTGAAAGAGGACGGACAGAGAGACAGACACCAAATCTGTCTTATCATGCACTCCCTGTTTGGGGTCTGCTCTGCTTATCTGCTCCTGTACACGTTAGTGTCATAAATCCAGCCATCCTCTGCTCTGACCTATTCCAATCCAAACATCTCAGTGGTGGGTTCATCTTATAAAGCTATAAATAAAGTTGTCACTTGATTCATTCGTTGGGAATTTTTTGTCAATTGTGACAACATTCTAAAAACCGATAGTTGGAACAACTATGACTATTTTTGATATAGGTTTTACTCCCTATGGGTGTCTATGGGATCATTTAAAATTTTGTATTTGATAATTCAGTTAATTGTTTAGAAACTGTATCACTTTGTTCATTTGGCTGAAGTTTGGCCAACATTTCAGCCCAAATGTACTTATTTTGACTAACTACCGGTGTCTTCACTAACCTTAAGGAATTTATCTGTCTTTGGTTTTGAAAATGTATCAACCGTCTTGCAGATTGCCTGCTGGTACTGCAGTACTAAGTCAGACAGGTTTAAATGTAAAGCACTTTTGAATATTTTTAGCACCAATTTGAGTTAGACCAGGAAGTTCCTGAATTAAAAAAAATCCTCTGGATTCTCTATTGGACGTGTTATTACTAGTCGAGTGGTTGGTCCGTTCTAGACTTGGAGTTCCCCCGTCCCCAAGTCCTACAGGAATATTAATGGACTTCCTGCCGATTGTTCTTGTTCACCAGCATGTGGACAACACACATGGTTGTTGTTCTTCATAGGCGACACACAATGCTGTGTTGTTTTTGCTCGCAAGTGAATGGGAGATGAAGCAACAAAGATCGTCACAAACTAAATTTGTGCATGACCTCTGCCTTTTCACTGAACTGCTACAACTGGGTGATTATTTTTTAGAAATTTCTTTAGAGGATTTTTAGAGGAGTCAACCAAAAATTGGGCCAATTTTACCACAGCACAAATATCAACATCTGCCCCCCCCCCCCAAAAAAAACTGGAATTCTATATTTACTGCCTTTGACTTGTATAGCTCTATAAGTGAAACCTAATTTCGACCTACATTTTTGAGCTACAAACAGCAGATAATTAACCTATATTGTTTTTTAAGTTATGGGTAAAAGGCAAAGGTCTGGCTGCTATAAATATTTGTTTTATAGAGGAGCGTCAGAGAGGAGGTAATAATTCATCCACAGACGGTGTGTCTTCGTTTTCTGAGGAGGCAGGACAAGTTTGACTCTCTGTTTGCTCTGCTCTCATGTGATCGTTGCAGTAAAAAAACAAGAACAAACACTGGCAAAGAGAGATGTTTCTGCTTTACTTCTGTTAAAAAAAGAAAGGAAGTGGTTCCTTAAAACTTCTCCTTTCTTAAAAGTGTTTGACAGCTAGACTATGTGAACAGAAGGTCTGAGGTTGATGCTTATTTCTAAAAAAATATTCCTAAATTTAAAATAATTATATACTTTATGTAATTAGTTTAATCAAACCTCGTACGACCTTTCCTTGTTTTCTCATAAGGACAATAACCTGCTGCATCTGTAATAACCTGTTCTGAGAGCAGAGTCCAGTTAAACATCTATGGCAGTGACTTAGGAACAATCCAGCACCAGGGACTTTTTTTTTACCAATAGGACAAAGGTTTCAGTCAAGACAAGAGGCCGAGGTGGAGCTCATCTCAGAGGAAGCTTCATGTCACAGTGAAGCCCAGGGTCAACACAGGTCTAACTTAGCATTAGAAAAGTCACATTATTCGATTTAAGCAGTAATCTTTAATCAGTAAACTTGGATGAAATCGGATTTCATTTAAAGAGCAAGAAGTGACATGTATTTAAGATTATAATTGTATATGATTTACTACTTAAATTACGTATTCTTAAATGTCCAGTTCCCTTGGTCTGGACCATTTTATAAGGACAGTCCCAGCCTACAGTGGCTGATAAGAGTCTCTGGGTGATGATAAACATCTGGTTTAATAACTTACTATAATTACCTGTAATTACGCATTGGTCTATGGTGCAAATGGTTACTTAATACCTGATTGTGCACTATGATTGTGAAAAGTGTAAAATAATGTGATCGTTTCCATCCTAAACACTTAAAACAGTGGCAAGTGCACGTGTCTGGGCTTCTTTTATTTCTCCTCTGGTTCTCTGTTCAGTTCTAAATAAGTTAAATATAAAGAATATTATAATAATAAAGAAAACATATTTCTATGGACTGGTACTCTTACCTCCCATCGTCCATATGTGATGAGGAAGAGGGAGAATGGAATGGCCGTGCCCGACATGGCGTGGGTGGAGGGCATACTGTACTCCGAGTTGTAAAACATCTCCACTTTGACCACGGGCGGCGAAGCGGGACGCGGCCAACCGATCACATCCTTGGTACACTGTCCCATGTACATGACCCAAACCCACACTATGATCAGCCTCCTGCCCACGAAAGGGTCCAGGTTCCAGATGATGAAAGGGAAGAAGATGATGTAGAAGAGCTCGTTGCCCAGCTCAGTTCCGAAGGTGAAGAGGTAGTACAAGAACCGGTTCTCGATCAGGAACTCCTGGCCGGCGTCACCCGTCAGAGAGTTTCTGCGCAGAGGTTTTACTGTGCCGCTCATTGATGAGGAACCTTCACTGCATTCGTCTGACTTGGGTTCTCCCGTGAGGCTGCGACTCTTGCTGGGCGCCTCTCCCCGGATGCTCGCCCCGTTATGGGGAGCATTTTTAGAGTTATCCCCGTGTTTTTTGTCCGCACTTGACAGCCCTATCCTATGTCGAACGCCAGTGTCTCTAGACCCATTTTCACTCACATTTTCCCCAGTAATGTGATGCAGACAAGTCCCATTGTTGCGCGGTAGAGTCCGCTCCTCTTCCCGGCTGGAAGCGGCGGTGGAGGCGCTCGTAGAAAAGGACCCACGAACTCCACAAATGTGTTGAAACTGTGCGACAAGGTGCGGATCCTGGAGGTAGCGAAACGGTCCTAAGTACCCCCTATTTTCCCCCATGTTTACTTCAATTTTTACTATTTCAAACGCCACAGGGACAGGAAGCTGCGTCCGGACTCCGCTGGTTCCCGCACGGGGAGTTGAAGCTAGTATTCCGTTAACGTTAGCCTGTTAGCCCGCACATGACGATATGAAAAGTGCCGCTCAAGAGTACAACAACCACCAAATTGAAAGCAACAAGTTGTTGTAAGAAAGGAGTTGCGCGCTTCTATATATTGCAGACGGTGTTCATAACAAGAGAGTAACGGAGAAGTCTAGCTGCAGGGGTTCTTCTTCTTTTACTGAGTCCAGATGCGTTCAAAGTCTGGCCAAGTAAACTCTGACTCCCTGCTGAATGACAGAGCCGCAGAGCAAGAGCCCGATTGTGCTGCGTTCAAGAACAGTCAGTAATGTCGACATTATTTTGTCGCCCATACTATGTAAACGGTATACATTTGAGGAGTGGCCACATTCTAGTCATTTCTTTCATTGACCTGCTGCTTGATGATGATGTAAAGGGATACACGTAAATAAAATGTACTACTTTCTTTCTCCAAACCGCTTTTGTGCAGTTTAACTTCCGTCCAAACACAGCTCTCCCTGCAGACGACAAACACATCTTTCCTTTTGGTTAATGGTGAACGATAATGATAACACTGCCACCAACTGTTGATACAATGAGCTCTCAGGACACGCCTCTTGATAAGTGACGAAATAACTGCAAAATGTTTTATCTCAAATGCTGATGATGCGACCAAATCATTTACATAAAACACTTTTAAAAATATTTCAGATAAAGGTATCGATTTTTGTACATTAAATCTTTTTAAAATTATATATTTTTGGTAACTACATACTTTTTTTCTTTACTCAGTGTCAGCTTCATACACAATCTTAAAATAAACAATTAATACAAGTTTTTAATGATTAACTTTGGTGAATCACAAATAATAAAAGAGAGATTTAATTAAATAATTTATTTCTCATTTGACACCCATATGATGCATTTTCAACGTCATATTATTTCATATTATATATTATATTATAAAATCTATATTTACAACATTCTTTTGACCACCTTCAGTGTGTTACTTTACATTAGGTTCAATCAGTTATTTAAACTTTTGTAAGATATTGTGTTCTTTTTACAGATTTGGCAGAAAAAATAATTCTCTAATGTTGGGTGTCCAAAATGGTGGCCCTACTAAACAATATATCATTTTTATATTAAAATTCCCTTCTCAGTCAACATGAACATCTTTGCATCTTTGTATCAGCTTTGATACATTTTCTAAACTGAGACTGATGGTTGGTTTTTTTCTCATCCTATAAAATAGTTATTGTGCTTTTCGGGAGATGTTTGATCTGATATGTTTCTATCATGTTTTAAGTTGGATCTTATTCAGATTTTCTTGTCTGGTTTAAATAAACTTAAATAAAAACTAGTTTTTGTTTACGAGGCACTGACGTAGCCACTAATAAACATAAAAAACAATGCTACCTGGTACCAATCACCATCTGGCTCGACCAGCATGAGTTTAGCATCAGTTAGCATCACCTTACCGTTGCAACACCATGGTTTCTGCAACATTAAAAGTCCACATGTTGACTCAAAGAGACAATCAAATGTGTAGACCCATGTGTGTAGGTTCAAACATCACTGGTCACTGGTGACTGAACATCCATTGAATGTTGCAGACTTGGTAGCATGAAGTTTCTTGAAGTCCCACAGGTCCAGAGTGTCCTCCTGGAAGGTTTCAACCTGCTCCTCAGGCTAACTTCTACATTCTGCAGGCCGAAACATCTGCTGATGGAAAGGTCATAAAAAATGGAGACGTTTCTTGTTGCAAGACTTCAGCCCTGGCCTTAAAGAGCAGTTTCATCAAGGCCAAAACCTTGTCCTGCAGACTAGAGGTCTCTAAGTATCAGACCTCCAGTCAGCAGAAACTGTTATTGTCTCACATGGTTCCATAGTTCACTCTTTTTTCATTTTTTCATTAACTCATGGTATTATGGAACACGTATTTTTAAATATTCTAGCTGTACCAGAACCTAGAATTTCCATTCTAGGATCTCCTGACTCTCCTCCTCCTCCTGACTCTGCGTGTTCTCCTTGTGGAGGCTCTTCGTCTTCTTCGTCTGGTGGTCTTTCGCCTCCTCTTCAGAGTAGCTCTCCTTCTTCTTGCTGCACCACGACGAGTGCTTCGTCTGCGGCGCCTTCTGGTTTTTCTGGCAGTGCTGGCCCTTCGTCGTCGACGTCGCTTTGTAGCCCGAGCTCGAGACTTACGTCGCCTCACAGTGGAACGTCTCCTGCGAGATCCTGCCCTCCGTCGTAGTCTGCGGCCCTGCAGAGCAGCGACGACAGCAGGATCAGCAGCTGCCAGGGCAGCAACGATACCAGCACGTCGTCTTTTGCCGACACGTCGCAGGGCGGAGGCCCTTCTCCTGCTCCTTGATCGGCTTCTGCTTCTAGCACGAGCCATAGTGTGGAGACACCAAAGTACAGTGAATCTGTGCTCAGTTGTGGTTCAGGTTTCTCAAGTTTAGTCTTAGAGGTTGCTTTATCTTTGTTATTGCTTATTCTTATTCTTCCTTTTGTTCCTTTCCTTTTCTTCCCCTTTTTCTCGAGGTGGTCGACTGGCGTCTAGACTTTGGCTAGTAGGTTCTGGTGTTCGAAAACTTCAAAGGTTTTGTTTTTAAATTTCTTTCATGTCACTAGTGAGGTCACATTTTTGATTTAAAAAAATGATGTCACTTTTGTTTCACAAATGATTTTTCTGACTGGCTCAGGAGGGAAGTTCCTCTGAAATTCTTGTGTTGAAGACTCTTAACACCTCCTGCACACACAACTTGGTCTGTATTTTGTCTACCTATAAAAATACTTCCTATCAGATTGTGATTAGCATCAGTGAAGGATCTCTTAACTATCAAAAACCCATGAGCTCCTCAACATTAATGTAAGTCATTCTTTATGACAATCTGTTGTTAAAAAATGTAGTTACAAGAGTTTTAAAAGAACTAAAACACACAGTATCCCATTTAATGTTCATAAAAGATAGAAATGACAGAAGCTTGCAAAGCATTATCCTAACGCTAAGTACAGTGGTGGCTTGGTTTTTACAGAAGTGGACTTGGTTCTGGAATGTTTCAGGTTCGAGTCCACCAGCTCTGAGCATGGCACTGCTCCCTAAGGGCTTGAGCAGAGGTTACATTTTGTGGTGTGCTGTGTCACACATTCAGTTTTTGTTTTTGTTTTTTGCCCAGAAAACAAAGTTTGACAAAGACTTAGGTAAAAGGTAACTTCAAGAATATAAAAAAGATTGCAGGGTACTCTAGCTTCAAATCCTTGTACATTCTGGCACAGTATATTGGCAATAATATAGATCAATTAGTGCATACATTATTTAAAATTCTAAATTAAAATTGAAATATTTTTGTAAAGACTTGCTTAATGCTATTTTAACAAAATGGTGTACCTGTGATTTATGAATTGTTTTTAATTAATATGCAAGGGTTTAATAGGCTAAAGTGGGGGTAACTTAATTACCCTTTGTTAGCTATAACTTTTTTTTTTTAGTTATGGCCATCTATGGTTATTACGATGTAAAATTGTTATTAAACTAGACTAGTGTTTGCACTAGACTACAACAGAACAGAGTACTCTTCATATTTTTATCCTTCACCAGTGTAATCAGAGGCTGCTGGGGCGCCATCTGCTGGAGGGGTCATGTTGTAACCCCTTTGAAAAAAAACAATCACAACAACTCATGTTTAACCTTCTTTTGTACGTTTTCTTTATCTGTGACAAACATGAAACAGTGTTCTTTCACATTTTAATGTCAAGAGATTTTCAATGCTCTGAACAAATATTTGTTTGCCTCTACTTCCAACTTACTATATGTTACAAAGATGAGTGCTGGGTTGCATCTTTCCTGGACATGGATTTCTTAATCTACAGACAAAACATTCTAATAGACTGACCTGCGAATTAGAGCAAAATAAATTTATAAAAGCTTTGCCCTTTAGTGAACCAAGAGTGAGTGAGGTTAAGTGCAGTATTGTTAAAATTAGGGATGTCCAGAATAATTACATATGTAATATCCGTAAGAATTGTTATAGGTTTTTTCTCCGATATCAAGAACTTGATAACGCACTGCCCGGGTTTCACCAAATGTGTGCTCTAAAAATTGTTTTGGGGAAAAACGACTGTATAAAAAAGGGAAAAACACTAGATGGCAGCATTGTAGCTCATTTTATTTATCTATTTTAATAACCAGGGGGTTGTATGCAGAATGCTGGTGCCAGCAACTCATATAGTGGTTTGTACAGATAAATACATAAATATTACCAGGTGCTCAATAGCATTGTTTAACTGATCACCTTAGTGAGTAGGTGGAGCTTAACTTCCTTAACCACCAGGTCACCACTGCCCTGCTATATTGGTATCGGTAAATATTGAAATTGGAAATTAAGTGTTTGGACAATATCGGCATATCGGTTGTCCCAAGTAAAAATACCCAAGGCCAACTGCTCCCTCTTGAGAACCCATGACTACTGAGTAAGAATGAATGAGCATTTGTTCAACGTCAGCTTTTCTCTGCACCAGCAGTGAAACAGGACTTCACTGCTGGTACAGGACTTTATATATCAAATTCTCTAACGATATATTCTCACCTTTCTTACTAGCATTAGGGTTGATTAAAACTAGAATAATAATGTTTTGTTTTATTAAGAAAGAAAACAAGCCATTATCTGTAATTTTTTTAGCTAAGACACCCTTTTATTAAGCAAGTTTCAACAAGTCAATAATACTTCTTTTTGAATCCAACATTGTCGTACACTGTTGCATACATTCACATTGATTAGCCTTGATGTCCTATAACACCTATAGTTTAAATATACATGACTTGAAACCTTTCAAGTTTGACTCGAGTGTTTGTTCAGTCTTGGATTTGATTGGATTCAAGGGTGGCTGCTTGACACTGTGTTCAAAACTTATACTGGCTTCATTACGCTTGCATTTGTCTTTTTTTAAATATAGGTTTCTAGTTATCTAGTTATCCTAAGCATGAACTATGGTAACTATGGCTTCCTATGAGAAAAAAGACTGACTTATCGTCCCATTTTGCACCAGTTTGGTTAAAACTATGGTGAAACTGGCTGGATGATTAGTATTCGCCTCAGCATCGTAATGACATGGCACTGCATTCTTCATCCATTATTTTTACCTCCTCCTTTAGTTTCAAAGTTTGTTGACTTGTTGGTTAGATTGATCAGTTGCTAGTTTTTCTGTTGCTCAATTCACTTACCACTCTGTAATCGTCCATTTCTTTCACCTAAAACTGGCTGTACCTTCACGAGGTCTTTGACTAGAAACCTTGAGGCCATAATGATGGTAATCTTGAAGGAGCCTGCTGTCCTTACTGATTCAAATTCATATTGGTTCCTACGTGCCACCAGATCTCCTTATTGCCTCCTTCACTTCAAAACTGGCTGCGTTGCCTCAAGATCATTTGTAGACATTGCGCGATAAACAATGTAGCCACTAACACCATCAAGATGAAGTTAGGGTGATTGGTGGCCAGTAAGCCCCAAGGCCTGTCCCTACAAGGGACCAGCCGGACTTTCAATTGTCTGGTGGAGCCAGCAACCACCAGCAACCAAGCTAGTAAGACCAGCGACAGCCATGACAGCTGTCACTGTTCCTCTCTGCCCTTTTTTTGTTGTTCGACGAGGTACGAGTCTCAAAAAAAAGTAGTCTGAAACATTACTTCATCAGACTTGATTAGAAAGTTTGAAAATGAAGCTAGCAATCTAGGTCCTCCTACTTCCTCTCCTTCTCCTCCTGACTCTGCGTGTTTTTCTTGCAGAGGCCCTGCGTCTTCGCCGCGGGGTTTTTCGTTTCCTCTTTAGAGTAGTCCTCCTCCTCCTGGCTGCGCCACGACGAGAGCGTGCACGTCTTCGACGCCTCTTAGACGTAGACCTTCGGCGTCGTCTTCTTCTGGAACCGGAGCGAGAACGAGACCTGCGCCGTCTCACAGTGGAGCGCCTCCTGGCCTTTGAACGAGACCCTGCACGCCTGCGTCTACGACGGCGGACCTGAGTAATGGTACCGACAGCAGGCATGACAGCAGGGTCAGCAGCAGCAACAGCTGCAGCAATTCCTACTCGCCTTCGTCGTCTGGCAGGACGCACTACACCACGCAGTGAGGCAGACCCCCTGCGGCTACGAGAACGGCTTCTTGAGCGGCTTCTACTCGTAGCCATGGTGTTAAGATTCACAGGTTCCGTTGTGGACTCCGTGTCTACGGTGATATGAGATGCTCAAGAGGAAATAGTGGGTCTTTCGTTCGTTTGTTTACTCTTTGTTATTTCCCTTTTGTTTCTTATTTCCTCCTGGGCTTAATTAAGGAATTGGATTTCGATAAAATATAGTTTCACTTACAGGTTCTGGATGATCGAAACTTCAAAGTTTTTTAGGGAAATGCCTTTTATGTAAAATGTGACATCATCATCAGCCAAGTTAGGAAATTAGGGAAGGAAGATGATGTCATCACTCAATTATGTGAACTACAGTCCTTAAAGCACTGGTTTAACAGTAATGGTTCTGTGGCTAAATGGTAATATTGAATTACATTACCTTCTGTTCCATTTCTGCACACAAAAACACACTCTGTTACACAATGTCTGTCTGCTGTCAAAAGAAAGTTCTCAAACATTCCAGAAACAGAAAACAGTCTTAACATAAGAACATAGGAGGCTATGCTAGGCATAGAAATAATAGAAAAATTAAAGAATAAAGAATAAAATCCCTTGTTTGTTGATATCCTTTCTCGCATTTAATCAAGTTACCCAGACATATTTAATTCTAATTATTGTTGAGTCATTGTTGTTAAACACAAATAGCCAACTAGCAGGCTGCAAGGCATTTTAATTATTCATAAACAAAAAAGTTCTTAATGCCAAAAACAGACTCGATGCAACACATTGAGGTACTGCAGTGACTTTTGCAACCAACTATTTTTTTTTCATTTTCAAACATGTGACAATCAGATTTGTGCATGTGAAAGATTGACTCTAAACCTGGACATATCTGACCCGCCACACGTGAGACTGTACTGTGATAGGTCCACGAAATACAACTATGCAGCTTTTATTTTAAAGGCAACTACATTGTCTGTGTTTCTAAACTAACCTCATTCTCTGAATTTGTCAAAAAAACAATGTTTGGTGGACTCAAACCCATGAAAGCACAAAACACCATGTGACCAAGTGGCACATTAACAAAATATAGACTGGAGCACTTGGAATACAAGTGTTATGCTGAACGTAAGCGACGAAACAACAAATAAAACGTGTTAAGAGCAAGCAAACCAATTATCGGACTGGTGTAAAAGAAAATGGAGTCTTGTATTGTTATGTGGGATGATGAAAGACTGGAGCTGCAGGCTTTGGTCAATGAAAGGAACTATGACGGCGAGTGATTTGTTCTCAGGTAAATGCACGGACAAGCTGAAACTGGTTGGTGATACAACTGATGGCACGTGTTTCATCTACTGTACTGATAAACCTAGTTGGTGTTTGAAGCTGTTATTGGTTCAAACACTTTTTCCACTTTTACCTTTTCCCCCCACTTTTTCCACCTGTTTAACGGAGACAGGCAGAAAACTAAGTGACCAAACCCATCCAATAACCTGTTGTTTTAAGAGATTACAGAAGCGTCTCCGGTAAGTATTTTCTATAATAAACTTTATTCATGTCACTTCCATCACATCAACACATATAACTTTAGTTTAAATACAAGCTAAACCACTCTCTAGACCACCTTGAGGGATTTTCTTAACATTTGGTATAAATTAGAAAAGCCTAAACATCTCATCCTACATTTGAAATATACATCAATTGAAAATATTGAGTTGGTTCAAGGTCAATCGTAAAATATGTTATGGTGGTGCCCAGTTTCTATTATGTTATATATTGTGAAATATAAAAAAAATATTGTTGTAAGTTTCATTTCATCTGACAGACTACAGTTTAAGCTTGTCAGATTCTGGCAGTGGAAGTCACTGTGGTCTCATTAAACATAACATCCCTCTCAAACGTTCATTCTGTCTGTTGTATACATCATTTGATGAGTCTCTGAAATCTGTCATTTTTCTTTTCCTAAAAATATCACCCTTCATTTTCTAGGGGGGATTAGATTAGAATCGATTAGTTTAGTATCGATTAGTTTAGATACCAAAATGGTGAAACCGTACCATATCTTGTTATTTCACTTTTCAGGTACATTAATTTAGGCTACAAGGTCCCCTATGTTTAAAAGTTAATGCTGATCAACTGCTGGTAAAACCAACATGTGACTAGCATCAGAATACATTACCGTTACATCGCCATTGATTGGTTGCTTTTATCCGTGATAATCCTGTTGGGTTCTTTGAGTTTTCTTAGTTCATGTTGGTCAACAACTGCCATTCTGGAACTGGATAAATTCAGTTGGCCACCTCCAGAGTCCGCATCATACCCTAAGGGTTTGATGCGGACTCTGGTGGTGGTCAATAGTACTTTGCTGCTAATGAGTCTTGACTTTTGGGTCCTGTGTTTTTTTGAAAGTCAGATTTTTTTTTGCTGCCTCAGGCTAATTCTCTTCTCTGAAGCCTTATGAACAATACTAGCTTCATGTTTCGAGGCCAAAAAACTGTCAGAGGTAAAACGTCTTTGACTGGCAGGAAGGTCAAATGACTTACCACCATCTGGTGGACCCTGGTATTTTCTTTTTCTTGCTCTTGGTTTTTTTTGGTGGTAGTTGTCATCTAAAATGTTGCATTACTGCCTTTTGGTCATTTCTTTACATTCTTGTTAACAATGAGTGCGGGTAGTTTTTGTGTAGACAAATGTTGGTCAGTGGTGATGCATTTGCTGACCATAAAACAGACAATATCAGAACATGGCACCAGAATTGTTTTTCTAGCTTTTGGCAACTCTCCTCCTTCTCCTTCTTACTCTGCGAGTCCTCCTGATAGGGGCTCTGCGTCTTCGCCTAGTGGTCTTTCGCCTCCTCTTCAGAGTAGTCCTCCTCCTCCGTGCTGCTCCTCGGCGAGTGCTTCGCCTTCGGCGCCTCCTAGTGGTTACCCTGGCCCTTCGTCGTCGCCTGGTGGACCTAGCCCTTGACTTTCTTCGTCTCACAGTGCGTCTCCTGGACTTTGAGCGACGAGTTCTCCTGCGTCTGCGTGGTCGGGCTGCAAGTACAGTTGCGAGAGCGGGATCAGCGAGAGCGGCAGCAAGACCCACTCTCCTTCGTCGTCGCATACCAGACCTCCTCCTGCTCCTGGATCGGCTCCTGGATCGGCTCCTGCTCCTTCTAGCTCTGGCCATCTCAATGGGGTCAAAGAAGCAGTTGTTGAACTTGTAAAAATCGAGATACTCAACAAGAGCTAGCGTTGATGCTTTTGGTTTGTCGCTTCGCTTTTAGCTTTTGTTCGTATGCTTATTTCCTTTCTGTGTTTTCCTCTATTCCTGGAGTGCTTGACTTTTTGGGATTAGTTTTGTAGGGTTCGAAGGTTGACTCACAGGTTCTCGAGTTTAAAAACATCAAAGGCTTTTGAGGGTCTCCCTTTTAAGTAAATATGATGTCATGGGTAACATGGGCTATTTTTGGTGACCGAAGAATAAATGTTGCAGTATGTCACTTCTGATCCAAAGACGGATGTCCCTTCATAGATGCATGACAAATGAATGAAGCAATGAGGTGGTTCAGAGATCCTCTGTAACACTGATGGACTGTCGGAGGCAACCATACCTAAGGGACCCCCTTCTTGAAATATGGCATATACTGTACACTTACCACATCTTCCACTGTGTGCCAAAGACGTTTGTTTATTGTTCATTTTGCTAGCTTGGCAGTTTCAATTTAGCTGAGTATTATTATTAGTATTATTAGTATTAGTATTATTAGTATTATGTGGTACTGGCCAGAAGGTAACAGATGTAAGCAAGACATGACCGAGGCAAGCATCTTGACATGCATCAAGTGTGAGTCACAGACGGAATCACATAATAAATACAACAGAAATGATGTAATGCATTCTTTCTGTGCAACCTGGTACCAATTGACCTACGGACTGGTGCCGGTCCACAGCCAGGGGATTGGGGACCACTGATGTAAACCATTTTTATAAATACACGAAATACATCAAACATTTTCTCATTGCATACTTTATTTTAGTTATTTATTTGATTTTATTATTATTCATATGAAAGAAATTAAATTGCCTTTATTCTTCTTAAAATAGCTTTTTAAATAGAGAATATGCATCTTCATCAAAATATATTTTTTTCTTGTAAAATATTATTTTGAATAGAATATTTTATATTTTAATATCTTAGCTGCAGTGATGATTATTGAGATGCATTAATAAAGTAGGTTAACAAAGGAAAGAATTACACTTTAACGACTCAAATCCAATAAGGTCAGTGAAATAATAAAATATTTTCTTTTTTAAATTTAGCAAATCTTTAAAAGCAGAGCAAAAGTAGGAAAATATAAAATTGAATATAATAAAGGCATCCTGCTCTTTGATATTCAGCTTTTAAACAGTTACAGACACAGAAAGCTGAAAGTCCTTCCCAATAATAAAAAAAAATCAACATTTGGTTGCAGAAAAAAGCTCAAGATACATTTACAATTTTCTTTTCAGTTCAGAACAAAGAATATTGACAGGTTTACAACACAATATAATGTTGTACACACATATGGGGCATTTGAGAAAAGTTTTGAAGTACTGTTTACTTTGTTCTTAATGCCCTCTTATCATTGCATTCAAATGTATTTTAATTTGTTCAATTTTTACATACACTAACATGATTATCATGAGGTTTCCAGATTTGTTCGAAGGTTTTTAGTAAGGTAGACATGAAAATCATTTTGTTTTGTCCAGCAGAGGGCAGCACGATCCGGACGTCAAACAGCGACACCGAAACAGTCGAGTTTTCTGACAGGCAACGTCAGAGACAGTCATATCAGAGCAACAGAATCATGGCAAAATTGTAACATTTCACAGTGTAGCCAAATGTTACGCACACTTTTTGTAAAACGCGTAGCTTTTAAAGGTACAAGAAGCGTTTTTAGCACAGGTTCTCCACGATAGTCTATGTGCATCGACAATCGCCTGTAAATCCCTGAAAATGTTTCGTTTGACGTGAGCAACCTTCAAAATAAAGGTCAAAACATAAACAAACGGCACAAACAGCAACAGCAAAAATAAAATGACACTCAGAGTCTGTCACAAGTACTGAGTCTGGTGTCTCAGAGTTAGTGAGATCTAACGGGGACATTACCAAAATAAAAAATAAAAACTTTTTAGGACTCATCTGCTCACCCCTCTGTTCCCAACGAAAAAGGCGGAAATTCTTCAACAACTCTGCCGTCACCTTGACATTTTTTCTCCTTCACATATTTATACAGTAGAGCTATTTGTTAGCAACGCAAAGCTACTGTCCGCTCAGTTTTTGGCCTAATGAAGAGGTTGTTGTTTTTTTAAATTGCATTTAATCTACATTCCTAGACATAAACTTTAAAAAAAACACTGTTGAAACAAGCACGACTAATCCTTAGACCACTGGTAACACTGAGTGAGTGTGCTGACAAACAGAGCGCTGAACTGGGTAAATGTCAGATACCACCGTACACCTAAAACCAACGACACCAACTGTAGCTGAGGAGGTAAAATGTCTTACTGTCTCGTCAACTTTGCTCTCCTTGGTCAGTCTCCAAACAGACATTCTGTATCTGGGCAGAAGAGAGAATCAATTTCCTGTGTACGTCAGTGCCACGTGACTTTCAGGTGCGTTCAAATTGACTGCGATAACTAAAGGCATAAATAAAGTTTATGTAGAACCATTGTTTAAGCCAGCAGTAAAAACAAAAAAACAAACAGTTCTTACTGTTTTAAAACTTTTCATCATTTCATGTCCTTACTGAAGTCAAAGTTATAGTTTTACTTATTTTTAAACATTACAATCATTGGAACCTGGCTGTTGGTTTTGCCTGTTTCACCACTACTGAAAAAAATTAAAAACCTTCTTATCCTAAACCTGAGAACTGTTTTCAGTATTCTATTCATTTCCAAAAAGATCTAAAATTTGAAACACTTGTACCTGGACACATTTGTGTTTTTCTTGAGAGACATTTTAATATTTGCGGTGTGTTGTTTTTTCTGTATAGGTATTGTTTTGTGTTATGATGTGTTCGATTGGCTGCTACCTCAGCCAGGTTTCGGCTGCAAAAGATGTTTTTAATCTCAATGGGACCCGCGGGTTAAATAAAGGTCAATAAATAAATACATTTCACACACTGGACCTTTAAGTGACAGCAAAGACAGTTTTGACGTCAACAGCAGAAGCCCTGTTGGTCCTGAGGCAGAAGAAGGGAATCCTGTCTTTATATATATGTATATATGTTTCATCTTCTTGTGTTTCTTCTGATACGGTGGTGAACAGAGGCAACAACATCCTGTTGATCCTCAAACGTGGAGCTAAACACAAACAGCAGCTCCAGTGGAAACACCATCAGCCACAGCAACAGATCACCTGCTGATCACCTGCTTTGTGCTTTGTGACAAAAAGGCCAGAGTCAGCCGTTGTCGTCCAGGTCGTAAAGAAGGACCTGGTGGCTCCTGGAACTCAGTGCCGGACTGAACAGACATCCAGATGCAGGGTAACAGGAGAGCAGGTGGTAACACTGCAGCTTCTCCAGACCCAACGCTGCCTGAGAACAGCATTCTGTTACCAGAATCTTCACTCTCTTCCTGTCAGGGTACGATAGCTTCCTCTTCCCACTTTCTCCTATGTGTTCTCCTTCTCTCTGCTCCTCTTCCTGCTCATCCTTCTCCTCCTCCGTTTTCTCCTCCTCATGATGGATCTTTCTCAGCAGGTTGTTGATGAGGACGGAGCGTCGCAGGTAGGCCTCAGGATCGTCCAGGAACCTTAGCTTCTCCAAGGAGAGCTTCAGGATGCAGCTGCGCTCCTGCTGTTGTATCAGGTGCTGCAGGCGACACATAAAAAAACAAGAACTTTTCATCACATTCTTTGTATGGCCTGTGAAAATACTTCTTCTGAATTATGTAAATAAAAATGAGGTCAGAGAAACAGGCAGCATTTTGTTACTTTTTGAAAATATCCACATAGGCCTCGGTGTACATCCTCCTCCTCCGCATACTTCCTCTTGAAATAGGCAACTTTCGACGTTGTTGAATGGTTTGTTCTCTCTCCTACACACGGACGAGACACCTGATGGAAGGAACACAAAAGATAAGAAAAAACACTTTGATTTAGAAAACAGAAGCTTCAGTGCGGGGGGAGATGAACATGTTGTACATAAACATGTTCATCTACAAATAAAGTTAAATTAAAAAGTTGTCCACTGGACCTGCTGGCACACTACTGCCTCGTGTGGTCACTCTAACTCAGGATTTAGAGTTGACAGAATAACGTATTTCAATAGCTGTGGATCAAAAATCCCAAATTAATGATTTTCTCTACGGACTCTGGTGCGAGTGAGTGTTTTACAACATAAACTGTCAGTCAGTATAACAGTGTAACTATGCAGCTAACATTACATTAACACATCACAACATATTTGAACTGATGCTGGTCTGTTTTAACTGGTACTGCTGCAAACTGTTGTTTCTGCCATGATCAGTCCCCCTGCAGCAGGGGGCGTACGAGCATATATGACGTCGGTTTACCTCTTACAACCACACTTGACATATAACCTAATGAAAAATGTTTATTCAGAAAAAAATGTTTACGTCACGCATGTTTGTTTCTTCCTCTGACACTTTCTATTCGTCCTTTTCACATCAATTGCTTTTATTGCGCCTGTAACGCAGGTGAACGTACTAACCACTAGAGGTCAGTGTTGTGTAAATGTTGACATGCATTACTCCAGCGTAACCGGGGTTTCTGTCTCCTCTCCTGCTGCTGCTGCTGCTGTTGCTGGTGCTGATGGTGGTCTGCAGCTCAGAGGATGGATTTAAGTCACTGTTTCGGAGTGGTCCTGAGTCACATCACCCCCTGTGTCCTGCAGGAGGAAGCGCAGGAGGAGGAGGAGAAGGTGAGAATAATGAGTTCAATCCCAAACACAGATTTCATCAGTCCAGTGTCAGAGATCCTAGTGTCTCTTCTTATAAACATTCTCATACATATATAGGTAATACAATCTATCTTTAGGACTGATGAACTGTACAGTTCATTTAATTCTATTCTGGTTTTATGAACTATGACATTGTTTTTGTTGTTCTGTTCCAATCATTGTTATAAATACAATATTAAAAGCAACAAAATGATATTGTTTTAATTCTATGTGGACATTAAAAAAACTGTTGCATTATATTTTTGTTCAAGTGACATTAAATGAATATAATGGTTCTATAGATGTAGTTTTATTAGTGCATCTGAAGATGTCATTTAAAATAGGTAGAAAAAAATCAATAAAATTGACAAAGAAAACAGTAGTCACCAGAAGATCATTTGCATTCAGCACCTAGCAGAGGAAGGAAAGCATGCATGTGTGTGTTGGTGTGCGTGCGTTTAAATAAGACACAGATGCTGCGTGGGAAGTGTGTATGTGTGTCATTATTTCACAGTCGTCTCCTCTTTTTTTTTTTTTTTTTACCAACAAACCTTTTACATTTGTGTTCAATATAATCCAGTGACAGCATATCATGAGATGTAAACAACTGTTAACTGATCAGATTAGATTCATTTTCTTTTAAACCAACCCTGGACATGATATAGTTTTCTTAGCTCCACTGCAGCAACACTCTCTGTTATTCAGAATGAATGTGGATTCCTGTAAGTTATAGCATGTGTCTGAAAAATAGTAGGAAAAATAGTTTTTCATGCAGATGTGTTTTGTTGTTTTTAGCACTAACTTTTTTTCCCATCTAGGTCATTGAAAAATACACAAAGCAAAAATAAATGTCAATGTAAAAAAAATCTAAAAACAAACATTATTCTCACTGGTCATAAAAATAATTTCACTTTTAAATGATCAGTGACACGTTTCGTTTCTTCATTATTGCTACACATACAGTTTTTATACATGTGCATACCCTGTGTGTACAGTATTAAAATATAAAAAACAACTTACCTTTGAGAGCAGCGTCTGTTCTGCAGCAAGAAAATAAATGTATGAAGAGACCGAAAATAAATCTGTCCACTGAAGGGAACACACTCTATGTCTCTCTCTCTCTCTCTCTCCTTTACTCGCTCTCTGCCTTTCTCAAATGCTGACTGATGATTGGTCCAGTCAGTGGCAGATGTTTTCTGTTGCTAGGAGACAAAGAGCATGGTGATGATGCTCAAGCAGCTTCTCTGTCCTCTGGTCTTCTTGTGTCCAACATTGAGTCCAACAGTGTTGTGGACAATAATCACAAACATGAAGATCTTAGATCCTGTAGGTGTTGATGGAGAGGCAGGGGTGAGGTTGATGGAGATGTGAAGACTATGATAATCAAATATGGGATGTTGGAGAAGACAATAATGAAGAAGGTGAAGATAATGATGAAAATGAAGAAGATGAAGATGATAACGAGGATAATAAAGACTATGTACACTGAGAGGAAGACAATGGACAGGAGGACATGACGGATGAAGATGTGGGGGAAAAGATAATGATTGTGAAGATGGTGCAACAATTATGAAAAACAATGTTAGAAATAATGAAGAGTAAAATGAAAAAAAATGGTGGTTGAAGATACATGATGTGGTGTCAAACACAGATGATGAGATGAGGTGTTAGACTGAGTGGCTGGAGACGATGAAGAGGACAGAAGGACAGGAGGCAGCAGATGGCAGACAGAGATTCTCTCAGCAGGATCTGCTGAGGAGTTTTTTTATTGGCAACAGAAATTTGGTACAAAAACTACTTTTGGGGTTCCAGTTTTTAAGGGTAGTGACTTGGGGGTCGTGCATGAACCAGACCAGATCTGAGGGGCATCAGTCTTTGTGTGTGTGTGTGTTTGTGAGACTGAGACAGGTTCAGTGTCCTCAGATTTACCACAGATGGACAGGAGGCTCTGAAATACAACTTCTAAATACAAATGTATAGTCAACAAGTCAACAAAAGCATGTGAGCAAGTTAGCCAAAAATAGTAACGCTAATAAAGAACGAACATATAAAGGTAATTGAATACAACTTGGTACATTCTGTTAGCATGATGTTAGCTTGAACATTGAAAAGGAACAAACTGTCAAATAAATAAAATTAAACAGGCAAACTATCAAAAAGAAAAACAAATTGTTAGCAATAAAAAAATCCTTCATTAGCAACATATAGGGCTAAAGTTGGAAAGTTTATAGCATAAAACTGTAAAGTTAGCAAAGGAAAATTAGACAAATTAGCTAAAAATCTGAGTCTGTGTTTTTAAACCAAACCTTTTCATTGCTGTTCCAATTGTTCATTGTTCTTTAAAGGAAACACTTTTTTTCTGTTTTTTGTTGAACCTTTAATGTTAGCTGCTCGTGTGGATGAGTTGTAAAAAACAAACTCATGTTTCAGTTCATATATTTGGCTCGTCCTCTGTTTGGCTCTCCTGTCGACCTGCAGCAGAGACTTGAACCTGCTCTGACCTGACCTTCACAGACTGACCGTCCAACGACTACGACTACTGACGACGAGGCTTCATGCAGACGGAGATCTTCTCTCCCAGTTAGATATGTTTGATCAGGCACTTCATCAGAGCTGCAGCACAAACACCACCCACTCCCGCCTTCTACTGAACTCCAGCTGGGTGCAGCTCCAATCCAGCCAACAGGCAGGAGAGCAAACATGCATGTGTGTGACTACCACAGGAATTCTGGGAAATATTTAACTTTTTTTTTTTTACACAAAAATATACAACACTTATTTTTTCCATTGTTTCTATACAGCGGTGCCAACATGCAGCCAGCTCATCAGTCTGTGCAGGAAGCTCCGCTCAGATCTGTGATTTTAATCTGTGAAATATATGACTGTTTAGAAAAAATAAATATAATCTAGACTTGCAGGCAGCAATGGATCAAGCCCAGAGAGTCCCCCCTTCATCCCCCACCTTGCCCCCACCCCACTCGCCACTGCATCTAGAGTGTGAGGTAATTTCCTTCCTCCTCGTCTTTTTGTCACATCCCTGACTTGTCTGTATCAAAAGGCCTGGATATGGATCCAAACATTGATGTTTGGTTTAAATGTGAGATCCGTTACAGCTGCTCTCTGAATCACGGTGAAGGAAGTCTCTCAAGGTTTTCTTTCTTTTTGGACCAGATAATATGTGGAACAGATCCACCTTTAATTAGTAGTAGTATTCCAAATACTTCATTTTGTAACAGGCTGTTTTCTTGTCTTGTAGTCTGATTCTACTTCCTGTTGTCTTCTGACTTTACTGTCAACCCGTTTACAGTTGGTTCAATCATCAGGTCGCTGTACCTTCAGACAGCACTGGCAAACATTAAAATCTCAAATCTGTAATGTGCAGCAAAAGGTCCTGGAAGGTCAACCAAAAACAGCGGTGATACTGAAACGACCAACTTTAACTTGATTTGTCAGGTTTGTGTCGTCTGAATATTTTGTGCATCAGGACATGCAGCTGTTTAGCTGACATGGCATAGTAAACTGGACGACAGTGTCCATCGATCGTTTGGTTTGTATCGTCAGTGCTTCAGCAGCCCTTATGTTTGTCATCAGTTTACATCGTTTCTCTTGATTCTATTTCTGTAAGGCCAAAACATCAGGTGATACAACGAGGCAGCGAGGCCATGCTAACATGTAGCGAGAAGCAAACGACATTTTCCATTTTTATTTTTTTTTAGATGTCATCACACAGTTGTCATTTAGCAAAATACTATAGTTTTTAACAGTCATTTTCCTAGAGTGGAGTTGCACCTATTGAACTATGTTTTTAATTTGAGGAGTCCAAACGTTTGTCCTCCTTCTCAATGATCCATACATGATTTGAGAGCCAGGCAAAGCACAGCAGGGTTTTAGAAATGTCAGCCATATCTGTGGCTACGTGTCATGATTATCTGGACGTGAACCTTAGTGTTGATTTATCTGGAGATGACCTTTGCCCTTATGTTGACAAGGTCACACAGGCCAAATGATCCTTCAGGCTGATGGATGTTCTGATCATTTCTACAGCTTTACCTTGTTAACAGTAATCTTGAAAATCTTTAGAAGAAAAAAAATGCATTTATGTTGTCATTAAAGGAATATTTATCAATCACATAATCAATAACGCCACCTGTCTGTCCGAACAGGAAAATCCACGATTTAAGCTCACACCTCCAGAGGATTGACAACTCTCCTGGACATTCATTCCAAAAAGAGCAAGCAACAGAAAACTTGGAATTTCTGTAAAAGATCTGTCCAAACGAACGATCACGAACATCCATTAGCCTCTTGGACCAGAAAGACTTGTTCCCAAAGTTTTTCCCATATTGGTTTGCATGGATGAGACAATTTTTTTTGCCAGATCAATTTCTTTAAAACTTCATGCGTCTTCCTTGGGAAATCCAGAATGTTTTTTTTTCTGTTTTTTGTAAGTCTTTATAAAAGTTCTAACTGAAGAACAAACTTCATACAAACATAAAAATAAATAGTAACCCTTTCCATCAGGGGGCGTCACGCCTCGAGGAGGACGTGCCAGCGGCAGACCTGCTGACCTCCGCTCTCCTTCATGTCCTGCCAGTGCAGCTGCTCCTCCTCACCGCTGCTGTTCTGGCCCAGAGCAAACCAGCCCACCATCTCCTTACGCTTCATGCTGCGTCGGTTGTAGATGGAGGTGAGCAGAGTGACGTCAGACAGCTGGAACAGCGCCACCTGGAAGATGAAGGTCTCTTTGTAGACCGGGTTGGGTTGACCCCGTCGCACTGACGTCTTACACCGAGAGATTTCCTGACCCACGGAGTTCAGCAGGGTCAGCCGGGCGTAGGTGTCTGGACCGAAGATGGAGATTTACCACAGAAGAAGAAAAACATGTTTGCCTATATATCCACATATATGGACACACATATATATATATATACTGTATATATAATGTGTGTGTGTGTGTGTGTCTTCAGACCTGGTGGTCTAGCGATGGCCAGGTTCCTGAAGTGACTTCCTTTAATGAGCTCCACAGACATCCGTCCTGTGGTGGCATTGTAGGACAGACCTATGAGCAGCTCAGGAGCGCCACCATGTGCCAGTGACCTGGTGGAAGTGATGCTGTCGGTCTGAGACACGGCAGACAAACTCAACACAGACCCCATGCTCTGGTGGAGGACAAACACAGGGACCTGGTGTTTTGTCTTTTCTCTACATCACAGAACAACATCCGTAGACATTCAACCAACAAACTCACCTTCAAGTTACTGCGAGGCTCCAGAATAAGTGACGTCTTCATCTGCCCTCCTTCAGCTGCCACATCTCCTAAACGCAGAACCTTCTCCCCCATCATCCTCTCCCTAGACATCCTGCCTCCCAGAGCGTACAGTCTGAACCTGATGGCCGACACGGACAGGTCAGAAGGTTCCAGGCGTGAGAATCTGAAGGTTTCATTGAAGTGTGGCTGAGAGCCTTTCTGCACTGTCGTCTTGTGCCTCTGCTTTTTGGCAGGAAGCAGGACCATGTGGATCTGCCAGGAGTCCATCCCGCTGCGAGCCTTGTCCGGAACGTTCTTGGCCTCGATCACGGTCACCAACAGCTTCTCCGTGTGGAGACGGTACTCCAGAGTGACCACCAGGTCTCCACATCTGGAGATTGGGGATGGAAGGGAGGAGGCGACCGGCTGAGATGAGACCAAATCCTGTGGAGGTTGTTCCTGCTGGCGAACGAACAGGAGGAAAAAAAGATTCATTTGAGAATGAAATTAAAGTAATTTAACCAAAATTCCATCACATTTATTTATAACAATTATCAGCATGAAGGTTCCCCTCACAGAAGCTGTGTGTATTTTTAGCTCTGTGTTAAATTATTACGTGTGTGAATAGCATTAGCACTGGTCACATCAGAGGCATTTTTATGACCAACATTAAGAACATTATGCAATCGCTTGTGTGTATGTGTGGGAGATTCATCTGAACATAACAACATTACACACACACATCAACATGTTAGTTAACCTAAAATGTATTTTCAATTAGCCAAACTGAATTAGAAAGTGCTGGCGGATATAATGCTGCAGTACCTCAGGGCTCCATGTGGAGGAGCTATCGGTCGCAGGGTTATTTTGCTCATGATCCCCCGCAGCATGTTCCGTGTCTTCACTGCCGTCCGCGGCCTGTCGTCTCATACTCAGCGTGGGACTGTCCCTGACCACACTGGACGTTTCTGACACCACAGAGGCCACTGACACCACCGAGGGTTGGTCTCGGGAGATGCTAGAGGGCGCCCTCTCACTTTCTTCCAGTGCTGCAGTGAGCGGATCCTTAAAACTCTGTTGTCTTGGCGCCTCCATCTCTACAGAGGGAAGGCAACAGGGGGATAAAGTCAGCATGTGGTTGGCTGGTCTTAAATCTGCAGGTGTGAGGTTAAGGACAGACGAGGATTGGTCCTGATACTGGACAGAGCTGGAACAGACACGTGAGCTTGGTTCCAGGTGATATCTGTGAACGTCGTGTTTCTGTATTTTTTTTAAATATATTTTGTAGGGGTGGCGCTTTGGCCCAGAGGCAATGTCTCTGTCATTGGTGTGGAACCCCAAGGTTCACCTCCTGGGCAAGTTCAAATCCCAGTCAGGGTGGTTGGTACCAGTCCAGTGGACTCACCACCCGTAGGAAGGTTCAGGGGGGTTGGTACGGTGCAGTGTGATTTGGGTGGAGATTGCTGCCCCCGTGACCTGGTAACGGATAAGCGGATGAAAATGGATGGATGGATGGATTTTGTAGGGAA